CCCCCCTACACACGAGAGAGACACGGCCCCCCTCCCCACTAGATAACCTGAGGAGAGGAGACACAGTCTCCCCTCCCCATGGGCAGACACACCCGCCCGAAACCCCACGGGCGAGACACAGTCCCCCCTCCCAGAGAAGTCCCCAGTGGAGACGCCCCTTAAGAGACTTTCTCATGGCCAACACAAGCCCTCCCAACACCCGGAGACAGCCCCGACCCAGGGAAGAAATGGCTCCAGAGGCCCTACCCTCGGGAGAGAGAGGTATCCCAGGGCTCCTAGGAGAAAAGACAACTCAGAGATGCCCAGCCTCATCCTAAAGTGCTGCAGGGCAGAGAAACCCCCATAGAAGAGATGGGGGCAGGGCCAGAAACATCCCTTCCCAGACATGCTTCAGAGATAGCCCCCTTCCCTGGGAAGAGAGATGGCCCCAGACTGACTTGCCTTAAGTACCCCCAGGAACCCTGGGAGGAAAACAGGCTCCCCAGAGAGCCTGGGTAATGGGGGGAGACATGCTCCTGTGGTCCTCAGCGGGAACACATGTCCCCCAGAGGCTCCCAAGGGGAGAGATAGGGCCTAGAGAGCCCCCAGAGGTGAGGGATGCCCAGAGAACTTCTCCCCACCCTGGGATGTGAGACATGCTTCAGGGACGCTAGGAGAGAAATATGTCCCCATATACCCTACCCCTACCAAGAGACATGCTCTGAAGTAGGGGGATGGGGACCGACTAGGTCCCCTCTAGGAAGACACAGACTGGGTCAGGCTGGGTTTGAGGGGGGCTTTCCTCTGGCCAAATGTCGCCTATTGGTACATAAAACTGTACGCGACACAGGCATTGGGGAGGGGCTTCACAGACCTAGGACCCACAGGGATAGTCCCCAGTGCTGTCGCCATCCCCTGCCCACCTTTGGTTTCATCTCTCCAGTGCCCAGTTAGTGACAGACCCAGTGCCCTGGCCCCAACCAGGGGGCTGGGGACTCTCTTTGCCTGTGGGAAGGGCTTCTCAGCCCTCCCAGCCATCTGGGCCACCCTCTTTCTTCTGGCTTCTCCATTGTGCAAAATGCTCCTCTGCTCTTCCGCTCAGTGCTCAGGGGTCTCTAAGACCAGGGCAAGGTACCCAGGCCACTAGGAGCTTCCAGTGGGAGTCCACTGACCCCAGGAAAGCCGCCTGTCTGGACCACCTTCTCCACCAAGCAAATGGGCCTCATACAATCTTCTTGCCCAAATCCTGACCTCCAGGACCCAGGACAATCCTGGAGGCCGCTGTTCGACCAGCAGGGCACCCAATACTACCAACTCCAAGACTATTGCACCTGCCCCATTTGTGCAGGGGAAAGGGGCTGTCTCTTTAACAAGCCCCCAGCCCATTTCCTGGGCTTCCCCAAGGGAAAGGAGCCTTTGGCCAACCCCTAGACCTGGTTGCTGTCACCCCATCCCATTCTACCCCTTCCCCTCCATAGAAGGGCTGCGTATGCCAGGGCTACCAGCCTAACAATGCTCTTCTTCCTAGCACTGTCACCCCAAACCAAGTTAGGGGTAAGGGGCAGATAAATAGGGTGATTCTTCAGCCCCCTGGCTTTTCCTGGGTGGGGGTGGGGTCTCTGTACAGGAGTCAAGACCCCAGCAGCACAGCTCCCAAAGGCACCAGACGACCCCGCAGCCTGTACCCACCCCTCCCAATCTTGGACCACCTCCCCAAGCTTAGACTAAGTCAAGCAAGGGCCATACCCTGAGTCTCCAGCCTCCCAGCCTGGGCCCCTAGGGAGCTGGAGAGGTATGGGCCAAGGCAGTGGGGGTTTGGAAGGAAGAGGGGCTGAGGCTTTGAGATGGCCACAGCGGGAGATGGGGGCTCTGCAGGACGCCCCTTACACCCTGGCCCCCTGAGGTGAAGAAGAGAACTCCACCTCATCATGGCTGACTGGGCTTCTCTGCCCCCCAACCTCCCTACCCCCTCCCCTATGGGACCCCTGACCCTGGCAAAGGGAAGCCCAACTGGAAGAAGGGGGCCTGGAGCCCAGGGTGCCCTGAGGCAGCCCTCCCACCCCCTGAGATCAAGGCAATGGTGGTTTTACAGGCTGACGGGTCAGTCATGGCAGGGGCTGGGGGTTGGGAGGGCAGGGAGGGGGCAGAATGCAGGCCCCCTATATCAGGAGCAGCACCCAGCCACCCCCTGAGCAAACCTTCCTGCTCCCAACTCACCCAACCAGGCCAGAGGCACAGTCATCCCACCCCTGTCCAGCTGCCCCCCACAGCCTCAGGGCCCCTCTGTGATGCTCATCTGGATGTGGGAGGCCAGCCTGAGCGGGGATGCCCCCCCAGGGCACAGCGCAACAGTTCCAAAAAAATAGAGATTTGTATTTTTAAAAAAAATTAAATAAAAGCCCAGCTCTGCTGATAGGCAAATGTTCCCCCCGTCCCCACCCCCACCCACCCGTTGTTTCCCTGGCCTGCACCCCCATCCCACCATGGCCCCAGGGGTATTTACAACATGGAACAATAGAGGCCTGGGTTGGGGGGCACTGCGGCAGGGAGGAGGGGGCACAGGGCAGGTTCCCCCCCCCCAGAGGGGTCCCCCAAGACAACACAACATCAACAAGAAAAGTTGCAAATCAGGCAGAAATGGGGACGTCATTCCAAGGTCCTTATATACAGACACTGCATGACCAGCAGGGAAGGGGGGCCCAGATGGGACTAGGCGTGGGCATGTGGCAGGCAGGTGGGCCAGCCCAGGAGCAGCACGGGAAGACGAGGCCTCCGCTCCACTCCCACCCCCGTCCCTACCCCACCTTTGGTAACAAAAGCCCTTCAGGGAGCCCCTGGCAGTCAAGAGTTTCCTCTGGGAGCTCCCAGGGAAAGGGGCTCCCCAGTTCAGCCCTGCTTCAGGGCTAAAATTGGGCGTGCTATCCCCGCCCTGGTCGGCCATGAGGGTAACAATGAGTTAGAAGTGTGCTGCCCACCCTTGACTCCACCATCTGCCCAAATCGAGGGGGTGGTCCCTGGAAGTCAAGGAAAGGAGCCCAGTCATTGTAGAGGAGCCCTCTTGGGCATCAGCTGGGGAAGCCCCATAAAGGGGAAGGGGCCCCTGGGGGCTGGGAGATGGAAAGGAGGGGAGAGGACCTGGACCCTGCATGGGGGAAGGGCCAGCGTGGTCATGAGGCCAGTGATATGCTCACTTGGGTCCCTGGCCAGGAAGTCCACGCTGAAGGGGTCAAGAGTGAGGCCCTGGAATGGGCCCATTTGGGAGCTGGCCGGCGGCTGGGGGAGGGGGGCCGGCCGGCCAGAAGGGGGCTCACAGGTAGATCTCGCGCTTGGCCGTCTGGGCAGATGCCGGTGTGGCTGCAGGTGGGAAGTCCGAGGTCTGGGTCAGGGGGATTTCCTCCAAGGTGGCCGAGTCCTTGCAGGAATCATGGCTACTGTGGGAGAAGGCACTGTAGGAGGGCAGGAGGCGCACGGGGGCCGTTTTGGTGTTCCGGTCTTCCGGGGGGCTGGGGCTGCCGGCACCCGCAGGCTCCTGCCCTCCTCGGTCCTGGTAAGGCACGAAGGTGGAGAGTTTGAGGGCGCTGCTCTTGGTCCGGCGGCTGGGAGATGACTGGCCAGGCATCCAGCATGTGTCAGAGTGGCCAAACTCACTGCACTCCCGGGTACATGTGCCTGTCATGGCGACATCAGGCAAAGGGCGAAGGTCTGTAGGAGCAAGCGGGGAAGAACAATTGTCAGACATACAGCCTCTGCAAAGCTCTGCTTCATGGCCTCCCACTGGCATCTACACCCCGCTTCAGGACAGGAGTATGCGCCCTTTCCTGACCACTGAACTCACAGGCACACACACCCTCGAACGGACACATGCCCTCCCACCATTGACCTACTGGCCTACTGTACACACGCACATGCACACACACAGGCACACACACCAATCTATCTTTTTTCTTTTTCTTTGTTTTGAGATGGAGTCTTGCTCTCATCACCCAGGCTGGAGTGCAATGGCGTGATCTCAGCTTACTGCAACCTCCACCTCCTGGGTTCAAGCAATTCTTCTGCCTCAGCCTCCCAAGTAGCTGGGATTACAGGCGCCCACTGCCATATCTGGTTAATTTTTGGATTTTTAGTAGAGATGGGATTTCACCAGGTTGACCAGGCTGGTCTTGAACTCCTGACCTCAGGTGATCCACCTGCCTTGACCTCCCAAAGTGTTGGGATTACAAGCATGAGCCACCACACCCGGCCTTATCCTTTCTTTCCTTCAAGACAGGGTCTCACTACTGTCACCCAGGCTGGAGTGCAGTGGTGTGATCTTGGCTCACTGCAGCCTCAATTTCCCAGGCTCAGGCGATCCTCCCACTTCACACTCCCGAGGAGCTGGGACTATAGGCATGCACTACCATGCCTGGATAATTTTTTGTATTTTTTGTAGAGATGGGGTTTAGTCATGTTGCCCAGGCTGGTCTTGAACTCCTGAATTCAAGCAGTCCGCCTGCCTCAGCCTCCCAGAGTGCTAGAATTACAGGCGTGAGCCACAGAGCCCTAAATAGACACATTCCTTCCAGCGTCACCTATCCCACAGTGCTCTTCTTACACACCCACCAAATCTGTCCTCAGACAGGTGCACAAACATACTGCCTCATCGATCTCCAGACAGGCTTAAACGTGCAAATCTATCCTCAGGTGGGGTTGAGGAAACCCCCATCCTCACTGAATTGATGGACACAATCAATCTCTCTCTCTCTTTCCCTCTCTCACACACACAGATAGGCATGGATGCACAAATCTACTATACTGGGCACCCCTATCCTCAGATGAAATTGGGCACATCACTTCCTTCAGAACCCCCTCAAGCCTCACATGCTCCCGGTGGTCCTGAACCCACCCTCCTCCAGCAAGGCCTTGCTTTAAACCCAGGGGGAAGGGACAAGCTTCTATGTGGGGTATTCACATAGAAGCACACACTCACATCCACAAGCACGCTCATGCAGCCCCTCCCCACCTCACTTTGGCCCCTAAACCAGCCACCACCCCTGGCCTTGCCCCGGCTCCCTGCCCAGAACACCCACGGGAACAGGAGTTGGCTGCCTGACATTAGCAGTAGCCGGTGTAGTTGCTGGGCAGCGGGGATCTCCATGGGAACGGCTGGGCCATGAGCACTTCCTGTCACAGCTGTCCCTGTCCTGCCCTTGCTCAGGGACAGCACCAGGCAGTGCCCCCCCCACCCCCCAGGGACATGGCTGAGCAACACTGCCTGGGACAGGGGCTCCCCTGGCACCACCCACTCTGGCTTGGCCTCCTGCCAGTGCCAGGTGAGGAGGGGACAGCTCTGTTGTTAACCCTCAAAGTGCCAAGGCTCTACAGCTCAGAGCAGAGTTGAAGGACCCAACATGGCTCAGAGCAGAGCATGGGCACTGGGTGGGCGAGGCTGGGTGCTGGGCAGAGTCCCACAGACCCCAGACCCCAGAGCAGCTCCCACATACCTGGCACTCTGCCTCAGGGCCTGCTCCGGCCAGCCGGCTCTGCGCGGGCACAAAAAGGACGAGACGGGCATGAGATCACGCATGGAGGGGCGGGGTGGGGGTGGAGGACACTCTGAGACCTAGGGCCTGGGAAGTTAGACAAGGGCCCTGTACCTGAGGCAGGGGAGGGAAACCTCCCATCTTTTGTGGGTAGGGGAGGCTTTGAGTTGAGGGAGCGGGTGAGACCTGAGGACAGCTCCAAGTTAGAGAATCTTTCCATCTTGGCTTAGTTCGTTCACTCTCCCCCTCCACAGGCTGCCATGGACGCCTTCACACATGCACACGCACTGCACACACACTTTCTGACGGCACACCTCACCATCCATTCCCATGCCGACCTCTGCTCGAGCTCACATCTCCATTTTGCCATCACCCTCCAAATCCCTCCCAGACAGGCCTTTCTCCTCACCAGACCTCCTGCTGCTCTTCCTCAAAGAGGTGCCAAACCTTCTCCCACTCCTCTCCCCAGCAGATTGTCACTCTGTTCTCTGATCCCCCCTCCCCGTAGCATCCAGGGCCCAATCTCTATTCTCAAGGCCTTCCCACCGTTCAGAGGACCGCCACCCACCTTCTCAAGGTTTCCTCACCATTATGTGAGCTTTCTGGTCAACACACTCAGGGTCCCTGTTCCCAAGTGGCCGTGTAAACATGGTGCTGAATGCAATAGCTTTGGAGTCAGAGAAACCTGTCACTTTCTAGATGTATGACTCTGGGCAAGTGACTTAACCTCTCTAAGCCTCAGTTTCCTCCATTGTAAAGTGGGTGCCATAAAGTTCTCAGATCACAGAGTGGTTCTGGGGATTAAATGCGTGTATACCTGAAAGCCCTCAGCACGGTGATGATGACTGAGTACACAAGAACTCAATACACAGAGGATTTGTTTAAGGCCTTGTCACCATTCCCAGGCTTCCACTCATTCCTGGGGTGCCCTGACCATGGTGCTGTTCCTCACCATTCTCGGGGTGCTCCATCTCTCCTATGCTGCCGTCAGGGGTGGTGCGCTCATAGTGATCCTCAGGCAGGGCCAGGGGACCGAGTCGAGGCCCTGAGGATGACTTGCTGGACGGTGTCTCAGACTCCTCCAGGCCACTGTCATAGTAACTGTGCTGGGATGGGTCCTGCAGCTCCTGGGCCTGGCTGGTGGCCGAGAAGGTGACGCGGCGGTGAGGTAACTGCAGGGAGAGAGATTGTCACTACTGCCCAGCCAGCTTGCCCACAGGGCCCACCACCATACCAGGCCCTAGTACAAGCCAAGCACCATCCTACTCAGGCCTCAACAGCAACCAACAGAGACAGAGACCCAGGCCCTAGCATAGCACATTCCTCCCGAAAGCACAGGCCTCCGTGAAAGACTGCTCCTGAGTTCTAGGACCGCTCCTCGTATAGCCAAGCCCACATACTGGAAGTCCCAATACAGCGCAGGCCCCAGTGTTATTATAGCCCCTATGCCACCCCAGTAACCCTCATCCAGTGCAACCACTTGTTATAGCACAACCCTTCTAGTTCTAACCCAGCTTCTCAATATTGGCAAAGCCTCTCTTTAATCCCAGAATGGCCTGTAATACAGTGTAGAGCCCAATACCAGAGTAGCATAATACCACCCGACTCCCCTAATTCCAGGTCAGCCTCTAAACACCAGCATAGCCTGCAATTTCTAGAACAGCTTCCTAAAAGCAGCAGACTCCTAACTCCCAAACAGCTCACCAATACCAGAACAGTTAGTTCCCTCATTTCCAAACAGCACCCTCCAAACTCCAGCTCCTCACCTGTCTCACTGCTCTTGCCACTGCCTCCTTCCAAATGAGGGGACAACCTTTCATTTCTTATCCTCTGTTCCTCATCCCTGGTTTGTGATGTTGCAGCAGTCTGAAGACTCCCTGCTGAGGCCCCTCCCACTCAGCCCCCCATCCCCACTTCACTCCCCTCCAGAGAGGCCTGGGAGTGGAAAAAAGAGGGAGGAGCCTGATAACAAACCAGGGCACCTGGGGGAAGGAGACAAAGCAGAACAATGGAAACTACCCAATCCTCCCATCAGGAAATAGAATATTCACTGGAGAGGGTAGGGCTCTGCCAGGAGCCTGGACAAGGGGGGAGGGCATGGTACCCATTAGGGATTAGGAAAGCTGGTCTCAAAGGGAGACTCCTTCCAGGAAATAGGAAGTAGCTTCTGGGAGGGCTGCTGGCATGAGGAGCCAGACTTGGAGGCTTGGACTGGGGACTGGGGACTGGGGACTAGGGGTCAGGGGAGTGGAACCGTTACAGGCTGCTCCCAGCCAGCAGCCCTGTATGCCTGCCACAGGTTAACGATCAGCCCTGGAACCTGGCAACCTCAACTTGGCACTTGGCACAAGCAGCCAGCCACCCAAATACCCACTTGGGACTGCCACAGATTTTCCTGCCAACCAGAAATTAGGAGTTGTGGAGGGCGCAGACCCAGGGCCCCTGGAGGCCAGGGGTGAAAACAGCCAAGCCCAGGGCTCTGCTGATGAGTCTCCACGCTCCTTCCCATCCTCCAAGACTTCGGCAGTGCTTTGTCTTACTCTATAACTCTGGATAGGAGGTTATGAAGATGGCCAGGGGAGGTGGCCCTGGCTTTGTAGACTTACCCTCCTAACAGCCCCATTCAAGGCAGCTAGGGTGGAAGAGGCTGTCAGGACAGGAGTTTTGGAGCTGTGGGTAAGGTAGCCCAGAACTGCCTCCCCACTATCCCCGTTCCTGAAGATGGCTCCCACCTCATCTTCAGGAATAAGCGACCGTTCTTGGAATCCTTGTATTGATCTAAAACACTGAAGGGTCTGGGTGATGACTGATAAGGTCCCCAAAACTGATATGGACATTTGGGGCCGGGAGGCCATAAAGAAGTATAGTCCACCTGGTGTAGAGGTGAACAGGGTCCAGGAGAGGTCTGGGAGGCACGGGGCTATATGGTTGTTGGTGCTTCTCTTTCCAGTTTTCTTTCAAGATACTGGCCAGCAGTCTCACCTCCCTGCAGAACCCATATCTGGTAATTGAAGGCTTCAGTCCTGCCTACTAAGCAAGTTGCTTGGTCTCTTTTCCCATGATTCTTTTCCATAAAATGGAGGGTTGAGTTATACCCAACACTTAATGTTCCCTCTAATTTTATGACTATCAAATTATAAAAGCCCAGATCAAAAAAATCTCTCTCAAATTCTTTGAGTCCTGAAGCTTTAGACACTTACTGATTATTTCCAATTGGCTCTGGCTACTGGCCCTTAAGATTCAACATGTCTGAAACCAAATTCTTCTTCAATTAGCTTCTGTATGGTCACTGATCTCATCACTATCCTATCACCCAGACTCAGAAGGCTGATGTCTACCTGGGAATCCTGGTAGCTCTCCCCTCATTCCCCATCCTTACCCCATATCCAATTATCCCTTGAATCCTGTGGGTCCTTTATCCCTAACCTTGGCCAAATCCGTCCATCCATCACCCCCATTGCCACCATCATAGTCCAAATTAAGAGGTTCAGTCCTGTACCTTCATCTCTATGCCCTTTAAGCCCACCATATATTCCAGTGAACTTTCTAAAATTCAGTTCATCTAAAACACTCATGAGCTTTCAGGGACTATTTCCTTCTGAAGAACTTTTGGTAAAGCACCTATGTCCTCTACAACCTACAGTTCTTCCAGTCTCTTCTTTCAGCTTTCTCTTATGCCTTCCATTCTTGCCAGAATATTCCTTTTTCTGCCCTTTCCCTCCCTCCAACTTGGTTCACTCCTGCCACAGGAGTTTGCTCACACGGTGACCCTGTGAGGAGACCCTGTGATTAGGACCCTGCCCTAATCCTGCTCATCATTGACAAGCTGACTTTCTCCTTCCAGAAGCCCATCTCCATGTCTTGTGTAAGTTTTCCCACACTGTGCTGGTCAAAGGAAGGGAGGGGCAATATGGTAAAATAAATTCAGAAAACTCAAGAGGTAAACAAAATTGGGGCTGGGCACAGCAGCTCACACCTGTCATCCCAGCATTTTGGGAGGCTGAGGTGGGCAGATCGCTTGAGCCCAGGAGTTGAGACCAGCCTGGGCAACATGGCAAACCCTGTCTCTGCAGGAAATACAAAAATTAGCCAGATGCGGTGGTGCACGCCTGTAGTCCCAGCTACACAGGAGGATCGCTTGAGTCCAGGAGGCAGAGGTTGCAGTGAGCCAAGATTGCACCACTGCACCCCAGCCTGGGTGACAGAGCAAGACCCTGCCACAAAAAAAAAAAAAAAAAGAAAAAAAATGTCTAGCAGTTTCCCCCTTTTTTGGAGGACTCTGCAGAGCCTTTAATGGGCTAATGTGATTGTGAATTTCTTACTACCAAAACTAACTTCCCCACAGAACCCCTTTTTTATAGCATAATAGATAATAGGAGACCCGCCTGCTTTGTGTTTGAATCTGGCTGCATCACTAGTTTTCACTTCTGCAAAATGAATATTAAAATGACCCATATCATAAAGAGTTATGAGCACTGATTGAACTAATTCACACAAAGTGCTTAGCATGGTACCTCACACCTAGTAAGGACTCAAAAAAATGGAAGTGAGGGTTGGGCGCAGTGGCTCACACCTGTAATCCCTGCACTTTGGGAGGCCATGGTGGGTGGATCGCCTGAGATCAGGAGTTCAAGACCAGCCTGACCAACATGGAGAAGCCCTGTCTCTATTAAAAATACAAATTAGCTGGGTGTGGTGGCACATGCCTGTAATCCCAGCTACTTGGGAGGCTGAGGCAGGAGAATTGCTTGAACCCGAGAGGCAGAGGTTGCAGTGAGCCGAGATTGTGCCATTGCACTCCAGCCTGCGCAACAAGAGTGAAACTCCATCTCAAAAAAAAAGAAAAAAAAAGGAAGTGAGTAGTAGTATAAGTAGTTTCATGGAATAAGTTAGGAAAAGCTTTAGTAGGGCACTTCTCATTCGACTCTTAAGGCTCTCAATTGCCTCATCGTTCACTTGTCTGTCTTGTATAAGTATGGCCATTTTTTTTTATCAGGGTCTAGTACCATGCTGAGTACTCAGTGGAAACTTGGCCTATGTGTGTTGATGCTGACAACAGGTGGTGTGGTTTGGTTGTATCTGAATGTTGGGAGAAGACATTCAATGTGGCTCCATGGATGGGTTAGGTTGGATTAGAGCTGAGTAAGAGACAATCCCTCAGACCATGGGAAAGAAAAAGAGATGAAGATGCTAAAGGAATAGGAGAAAGACGGAAGGAATGCCAGCAAGGACAGAAAAGGAAGAGAAAGAATGGGAGGTCAGGAGTTGTTGGAGGTCACGACATGGTTAGATCTCACTTCCCCAGGCCCCACTCCTCCAAGGACCCCAGGAGTTTTTACTTTGGGGCCCCCCCCAGGACATTGGGGGAGTTTGTGGATGGAATCAGAGGAGAGAGCTGGCGCCTGGTCCTCTTGGGAGTGTCTCAAGCCTCTTTAGTCACCATGGAGATAGGTTGCCTCTGGCCTCAGAGACTCCCCTAGGGCCTGAGGCCCCTCAGCCATGATTTAGCCTTCCTCCAACTCAGGCACAACCAGAGACAGGGCAGACCCAGGAGAGCAAGAAGTGAGAGACGGAGAGAGAGAGAGTGAGAGCAAGCAACCCAGGGTGGCCAAAGCAAGGAGTGGAAAGAGGGGAGGGAGGTAGCATCACAGGCAGAAGGCAGAACTAGGAAGCCTCTGCTCATGAGCAGGGAACCCCCTAAGAGCAGGGGTGCAGGGCAGGTCAATGAAAAGAACTTAGGAATTCCCTTGCCTCCCCCTGGGCCCCACTCCCTGCAGGCCAGGCTGGTGATCATGGTGGGGAGACACAGGGGAGAGCCAGCTAATTGCTGGGTGTTGAGTGTTGTTGGGATGAAGGGGCTGGGGAAGGGACTTGAGGGAAGGACTTGCCCTGGGGGAAGGTGGCTGGTGTAATCAAGAGGTTCTCTGCCTTCACCCAAGGCAGGAAGGCTGAATGTTATTCCCTGCCAGGTGCTCCAGTCTGAGGTCTGTCAGAGGCAACTGTTTGAGCAGGTTGGAAGAATCAAGCCTCAGATGGGGCAGGACTTGGGTACAGCTCCACCCACCCTTTCTGGGTCATTCTTAGGAAGAAAGCCCTACAGACATGGGGCAAGGGGATACACTGCCAGACACCTCCATTTGAGGGCTGATCGGAAGGCCACTTTCCCAGAGGTGGATAGGGACATGGGGGTGGATGGCAAGATGGTAGGCTAAGATAGTGTGGGGTACAGTGGGCAGGTCTAGGATATGGCAAGAGGCAAAGAGAAGGGAAGGGGAAATTGAGGTAGGACCTGAGGACAAAGGGCTGCTTCCAGTCTCTCTCGCTTCTTCTCTCAGTTCCAGAAAATAAGAAACCAAAACTCCAAAAATAGAGAACTTTATTGTCAGGGTCAAGGGCACGTGGGACCCAGCCCCAGAAGCCTAGTGGTGAGGAAGAGGTTAATGCACAATACACACAGAAGGCACAACGGCGAGGTCCCCTCCCCTGGCAGACTCCCCACTCAGTTATCCACGGGACCCCAGGTCTCCCTGTTTCCCTCCTAGAGAAGCACCTAGGGCTGGTCTCACATAGAGACCTAGGTTTGGAGTAGACTTCTTCCCCATTTCCCTCCCCACTTCTGCTCACCTGCCCACCACCCCCAACACACAAGGCCCAGCAGCTGGTTCAGGGCAAGTCACAGGCCTCTCCCCAGTGGGGAGAGGGCAGGGAGGAGACCACAGAGCACACCCTCCCTTAATCTTCACTCAGCCTAATCCCTGTGCCTGGGTGAGGCAGCAGTGTTATTACCAAGGCCCCACCTCCCACTGCTGGCTCAGGCTGGCCCCCACACGGGCAGGCACAGTAAACCTGCTCCATCACTCCCACACCTCAGTCCAGATGGCTCCGTGGTAGGGGTGGGGTAGGGGCTGGGGTGTGCTGAGCTGAAAGGGCTGGCCTACCTGCTTGCTGGGGTATTTAGGGGGGTTGGTGCGGTAGCTGTAGTCGGAGTACTGCTCAGAGCCCGTGGACGTGGTGTCCCCGGTGCCCACAAATGTGTTTGCAGGTGGCAAGTCCTGTACCACCTGGTGCTTCTTGGAGGCCGAGGGTGACTGGGGCTGCAGCTGGATGGAAGGCAGTGGGGAGTTAGAGCGGTAGTGGCGGCCCAGGTCAGGGCTGCCTGGTGGGTAGTTGAGGGGCAGGTGGATGCGGGGACTGTCCCCAGGGGCATCGCTCATCAGGTTGAACTTGAGGGACTTCTGCAGCCCGGCCTCATCCTCGTCCTCCACTGGCTTCACGGGCTTTGGGGACTTGCTCTTCTTGCCCTTGCTTTTGTTTCCCTTGGAGGCCTTGCCACTGGGCTTGGGGGCGTACAGGTCCTTGGTCTCCTTCTTACCAGCCTGGTAACCACTTTTAGCCTCCCGCTGCCGGCAGTAGCGCACAAGAACCGCCAGGGCGATGAGCAAGGCCACGGCCACCACACCGGCCACCACACCAAAGAGAATGTTGCCACGCTGCTTGGAGCGCTCGTATTCTGGATCCCCAGCAATGTCAATATCCAGCGGTGTGTCCAGGCTGTGGCCCAGGAGGGTCTCCAGCAGCGTGCGGTTGGCCAGAGTCTCATTGACATAAAGGTGGACCAAGGCTGTGCCATAGCGTGGGGGCTTGCCGCGGTCACTGACCTTCACCACCAGGCGGTGTAGCCCATGGTGGCGCCGCTCAATCTCCTTCTCCAGGGTGATGGCACCTGAATGTGACCCAATCTGGAAGAGTCCGTAAGGGTTGCCACCTGCGATGCTGTAGATCAGCTCAGCATTGACACCAGAGTCAAAGTCCTCAGCTGCCACCTGGCTGACCGTCTCACCAAGACGTGTCTGGGGGGTCAGCAGCCGGTGAGAGGTGTTAGAAGGGGCAGTGATATAGGGTGCGTTGTCATTCTCATCCAGCACATTGATGGTGACGCCAACATAAGCTGAGCGAGGTGGGACGCCACCATCCACTGCCTTCAGCTGGAAGGTGTAGGTGCTTTGTTGCTCTCGATCGAAGCTCAGGCTGGAGAGGATAGTGCCTGTGCCATTCTGGATAACAAAGTCACCATTGTCCTGCTCCACTGAGAGCTGCACCCGGGCATTCTCCCCCTTGTCTCCATCAATGACAGTCACCATGCCCACCGGACTCAGCGCTGGCATGTTCTCCATCACTGAGAAGTTATAGCCACTCAACATAAATTTGGGGTCATTGTCATTGCAGTCCAGCACATTGACAAGGACAGTGGCTGTGCCCTGGAGGCTAGGGCTGCCCCGGTCAGCTGCCACCACCTTCAACTCATAGCTGTCCCTCTGTTCCCGATCCAGGGATGTCTTCACCTGGATCTCTCCAGTCTCGGGAGAGATGGTGAAGAGGCCCTTAGCAGCCGGCTCAGGCTCCAGAGAGTAAACCAGCTCAGCATTAGAGCCAGAGTCAGCATCACTGGCGGTGACCTCAGCAATCACTTCACCAGGCTTGTTGTTTTCCGGGAAGGCGACCTCAGTAACACTCTGAGTGAAGACAGGTGCGTTGTCATTGACGTCCACCACCTGCACCTTGAGGGAGTTGGTGCTGGAGAGTGGGGGGTTGCCAGAGTCCACAGCCACAATCTCAATGGTGTAGTCTCTGACCTTCTCGTAGTCCAGCGGGGTGGTAGTCTGCAGGAAATACTTCTTCTTGCTGTCACTGCCTGTCTCACTGGCCTGGCGCAGCTGGAAGGGCACATCACCTGCCACCACACAGGTGACAGCTGCATTCTCTCCCTCATCTCGGTCAGATACCTGCACCAGGGCCACAGCTGTCTCCTCTGCCACATCCTCTGAGATGTTAGCCATCCCATCTTGATGAGTCACTAGCCCTATGCCCCGGATCTCAATGGTGGGGGCGTTGTCATTCATGTCCTTCACGGTCACAACCACTTGGGCACGAGCACTCTTGGGGTTGGTGCCTCGGTCCTTAGCAAGCACTGAGAAGCGCAAGGTGCTTAAGTCCTCACGATCCACCGGGCCCTGAACAGTGATAAGTCCAGTGTTCCTGTCCAGTCGAAGAAGACGCCTCACAACTTCCGGTGCCTGGTGGAATGTGTATTCAATCTCTGCATTGGCACCTTGGTCTGAGTCATTGGCCTTCACCTATGGGACAGGAGAGAAAAACAAGGAGAACAGAGACGGTTTAGATCAGGGAGAGCAAATAAAGGGGCATATGTGCTGCCAATGTCCTTTCCAACAAGCATGGCAGACACAGCCAATCCAACATCGCTCCCTTTCCAGAAGCCATGTGTGTACTGCCTTTTCCCAATTCGGACACTCTGGCAGGCATTACTAACCTATTTTCCTGAAGAGCCCAAATGCAGCCTGCAAATCCTCAACAGTGCTACAGGCAACTATTGGAGATGGGACAGGGCAGAATTAAACTTCACTTGTCACTGCCGTGTGGGTCCACAAAAATACCAGGAGAGGATGAGGATCCAATAGAACTAGGGACGCCATTTCACCAATGAACCCTGCCTGAACCCTCCTGAAGAGATGGAGAGGTGTGAGTAGTAGAGGTGGTGTGTGTGCCCGTGTGAATGTGCACTACATGCACGCCTGCACACATGTATGTGTATGATTGTGTCAGAATGTGTGATTATGTGTGATATTTTTGTATGAGAAGGTATATGTTTGTATGTGTATGACTGTGTCAGAATGTGTGATTATGTGTGATTTTTGAGAGAAGGTATATGTGTTTGTGCATATGTGTGTTTGCACACATGAGTAAAGACTCACATGCCCACCTGAAGGCCCCAGGTTGGGGTATTTCTTTTGAAAGAAGTCAGGTGGCGTTGTGGGTCAGAGAAGCCCTCCAGGCCGGGCCCCAGCCACCGCTCTGTCAAACCGGGGAAACCTGTTTCAGCAGCAACTTCTCCTCCTGGCTGGCACTGGCTGGCGAGGCACCAATGCGAGGAATCCGGCCTGAGCCTGCAGCCAGGAGGGAGGGGCTGATGCAGGCCACAGAGCCTGCTGGCAGTGGGCTGGGCTCCCAGCATCAAACAATGAACTGTCTGTCCCTCTGCAGTCAGCGGGCACGCCCTCCCACGCCAACTCCGACGCGCACTCGACCCATCTCTATACAAACATGGTTGGTAATGGGGCAAGAGGACCCAGGTGGGAATGGCCATGGGGTACTACTGGGCAGGGAGAAACATGAGGGCTGGAGTTAGGTCACAGCCAGACAGAATGTGATGGCTGTGGGGAGTGACGGGAGAATAAGCATAACTTGGTAGAGTCTCTGGGGTAACAAAACAGGAGAGTCCTGGGTTCAAATCCCAGTTATACCACTTCCCAAGTAACTGTGTGACCTTGGGCCAATGATTTAACCTCCCTAAGCCTCAGTCTAGGAACATGTGAAATGGGGATAATAATGTAACCTGTTTCACAGAACTGTGGCGAGTATCAAATGGGATGATACAGGTAAAAATGCCTGACACAGGGAAAGTGCTCCCTAAATAGCATTTATTTCTTTTTGCTTGTCCAACCTCTACCCTCCTACCCGCCTGCCTCTGAAAAATCAGTGCTAATGCAGTAGTGGGCACTGCACTGAGTGAGCCCTCCAGCCACTGCCAGTCCTCTCCTCCTTGGGAATGGGAACTCCAGCTATTCCTGTCTGGGCTTTTGCTACAGTGAAGACTCCTGGACAACGGTTCCCCAGGTACCCTGGTCTCTGCTCACATCTCTGGGTGCCAAACCTTAACAGTTTCTCCTCCCCTCACCCCAGTTTACCTGTCACTAACTTTATGATGAGGATCCCCAGTCCCCCTTGCCTCTAGATTGGTCTTCCAGCTTATCTGCCTCTTGTCTCACCTCCCTTTGTCTCTGTCTGTGACTCTCGGCTTCTGTCTCCTTTCTATCCTTGCTCAGTTCTGATTCTGCCCCATTCCCACAGCCCGTTTTCTTCCATCCTCTTTTTTCAGCCCTGCTGAGCTCCCTGCTTACTCTCTGCCCTACTCTCCCGCTTCACCTCACTGGGAGGTGGTAAAGCTGTTACACACCTAGGCTATGAAGCCAGATTCTTGGCTGCGGCAAAGGTGGACTCTGAACTCATTAGCTGTAGGATATCAGGCAAGTTTTCTAATCTGTATGGGCTCAGTTTCTCATCTGCAAAATGGGGATAATGCTTACCTTGTACTCTAAGGATTAAATGATATAATACACATCATGTGTTTAGAACGGTGCCTGGCACATAGGCTATTATTATTTGCCATCCCCAACTGTCTGTCTCCCTTTTGTTTTTCAGTCCTTTTCCAGGTCCCAGTCTACCAGGCTCTTAAAAAAAAAAAAAAGGCTGAAACTCCCACCCATCTCCCACTTCGACTTGAGGACCTAGGACTAAGGGTTTTCCAGGATGGGTAACGGTGTCCAGGGCAGGCCGCGCCTCCTCAGCTCCCTCACATCAAAGAGAGAGGCATCTTCAGCCCATGGGGAAGGAGAAAGGAGCTGGGGCTGGCAGGAGGCCAGAGCTGAGATGACAGCAGGAGATACACCCACCTGTCTGCAGGGACGCTATCTTTGCTCCCTCCCAGGCCCCAGCCCCATCAAGCTGCCCAGCGCCTGGGGCAGTTCCCATGGAGGGGTGCTGAGAACTTCAGCAGAGGAAACTGACCCCCCACTGAACCCCACTGTGCCAAGCACCCCACACCCATGGGCACCCCATGCCTAAGGGAGGAGGCAGGTATATAGACACCCCAGTATGTGTTTTTAGAACACCTGGCTAAAATGATCTCATTTGATTTTGTCAGGAAGAGGCAAAATGAGGCTATTTCCTTCAGCTTCAGGAAAACCTCATCTGGCTAAAGGGAAACTGTCCCTGGTTGCGAAGATACTCTCATCTCAGGAGAGAGTCTACCTGGATAAACGGTGATTCCTCTGTTCCAACTCAGCTCACCTGGCTGGCAGAGAAGGTCTACTTGACTAGGGCGGGAGTTTCACTTCTCAGAGGTTTCCCCAGCTTGAGTCTGCTTAGGGGTGGGGGGAAACTGTTCATATGCTGCGTCACTGTCACTTAAGTAGCCTAATAGAGGAAAGTAATATCACTGCTGGGGTGGGGTGGGAAAGGCTCCCCTGGCTGAGTTTGGGGAGAAGGGGTCTCACTACAGTATTCTGGCAGCTTTTTCCCCTAAGTGAAGGGAACGCTCACCTGGTTGGGTGGGCTCCCATTTCTAATGGTGGATCACCCTGACAGTTATACGGAGGGGGCCTCTCACCTGGATGACCGAGTGGCCTATGGGGCTATTCTCAGATAGTTCGGCCTCATAGGAGGGCCGCTCAAACTTGGGGGCGTTGTCATTGGTGTCGAGCACGGTGACACGCAGCAGGGCACTGCTGGCGCGTGGGGGGCTGCCGCCATCCTGCACTTTAATGGTGAGGTCGTAGGAGTCCCAGCGCTCACGGTCCAGGTTGCCCATCACAATGAGTTGTGGTTGCTTCTCCTCCTGGTCCTCTGCCACCTGCAGCCCAAATAGCTCCTGGGCCTCAGGCCCAGCCTGCAGCTCATAGGATGCCACACCGTTGGGACCAGCATCACGGTCTGAAGCCAGCGGGATGGGGAAGAGTGAGCCGATGTTGGTGTTCTCAGGGATGGCCAGAGTGATGACTGGTGAGGCGAAGTTGGGTGTGTTGTCATTGATGTCTTGTACTTCTATCTGGCCCTCTAGCAGCCGGGGGCTGCCATTCTGCACGAGGTCTGTGATAGACACCTCAAACTCCAGGATGCAGGGATCACCAGGGAGCTGGTTCTGGCATTCACGGAGCCCCTCACGGTCGATGGAGGTCTCAGTGGTGAAAATGTCACCTGTCTTGCCATCCACGCGAAGGTACGGGGCACCCACCTCTAGCTTGTACAGGTGCCCCACATCTGGAAAACCATAGTCAGCTGCGAGGCTCCCAATGAGGGTGTTGGGTGGCTGTTCCTCCGGCACCTTGTACACTACCCGAGTGGCGTGGCCTGGGGATGGAGCCAGCAGGAGCAGCAGTGCTAGCAGCATGGAGGGCAGCAGTAGCCGTTGCCCCCCAGGGCCTGGGCTGTGCCTCAGCGGCCCCATCCTGGCAGGCCCCAGAATCAGGAGGGCTGCAAGAGGAAGAGGCAAAACAGAGGCCATGAGCTGGGAAGAGAAGCCTGGCCCTGAGCTGCCCAGAGCTGGCCCCATACTCACCCTCTCCCATTGACACACGATTCTCCACAAGAGCAGTCAGTCCCAGCACAGAACCCCAATTCCAGAAACTCAGATTCCTGAATCTCATCCACAGCTGGGTGTAGCAGCAGTGTCTGCCCCAGCTGGAGGAGCCAGTAAGAGGCCTGGCATGCTTAGAGCAGCTCCCGCCCATGGAACACCCTCACCCACCTGACACTCCCTGGGCCTGAGCCCGGCTGCCCGCCCTCTTTCCTTCTTTCCCTCCCTGCTCTCTGCTCTGTGCTTCACCCAATACCTCCTTCTCACGAGCATCCTGCCTTAGTCACCGATGGTAATTACCCTGATACTGAGATAGGGAGAGAGAGCCAGTGGAAGGGTGAGGCCTCGAGCATCCCCAATTGGAGCACCCCTCCCCACATGCATGGTAGGAAAGAGACACAAGTACCTCCTTACACACCCCAGACCCTGTGCCATGACTTCTCACACTGGGCCCCATTAAGGTTGGCTGGAGGGAGAGGGGATGATGTCTCATTTCTCTTTATTATGAGATGCCAAGTCAGTGCATATGTATGAGGTATGATATCTCAAATCCTCTTTTTCTGACAATCACCCACGGTGCCCAGTGTTCGCCATCCCCATAAAAGGCCAGCTTGAATTGGGCAAGGCTTGTGAAAATGGTTAGGTTTGAGGAGTAGGTGTTAGCCTTCCTGACTTTCCCCAACACATATGCCCCAGAGTGCGCACACAGGCCCCAGAGTGTGCACACAGGCCCCAGAGCGCGCACACAGGCCCCAGAGCGCGCACACAGGCCCCAGAGCGCGCACACAGGCCCCAGAGCGCGCACACAGGCCCCAGA